TCCTGCTAGCATAAGACAGACTTGTTTTGGACGTATTTACCCGAAATGAAATCCCGGTTAGTTTGGGTTGATCAAATGGGCTCAGTTGAAATAATGTTTCTTTTTTAATAGAAACAACACGTAGAAAATGGTGTTTCCTTTCAAGTAAGTTTTTGCATTTCAGTACTTTCTTTGCCTTTTTTTAAACACCCCAATGATACTGAAAATAGCTTTCTTTGACTCTCCCCTCTGCAATAACTTCCATACCAATGGGCTTTGCGATTATAGAGACAATGCCAAGGTGTGGTGCATTCGCTAACGAGAAAAATACTGGACTTTTAAGTTGGTTACCGACCAGTGACTGACTGAATCTAAGATGATGTAGGACTTTGTGGCGTTTCTGAAAACTTTTCAGACCTGAAAAATAAACAATGCCTGCCACATCTTTTTTTTTTTTTTTTTTTTTACCACTGCTGTGAAATTGTGTGGAAAAACTTTGAAATAAGTAATTATGGAAACTTACCGACCTCAACAATGCCGATTTGTGCTGCGGTTCTCAAATGGTGAGAATTGTTTTTTTTGAATTTCCTGTCGCACTCCTCAGTCGTTGTGGTGGTCACTGTCCTGCCTACATATCTTAGTTCTTAGTTCATGTTTATAATTATTGCTCTCGTAACTTTTTAAGCTTTTTGGATGGAGATATGCTTACTGCAAAAAAAAAAAAAAAAAACTAATTTATTTTAAGGCTTTTTACATAATTGTGGAAGGTGGTATGGTTCTGAAAGTATTTCTTGGCATTAGCAGGCTGTTTTCTTTTTCATATTTTATTCACGCTGTCCTTTTTCCGGGTTCTGCTTTCAGTGCAGAACTTGATGTTTAATGGGACCATCATAAAACGTGGAGTCAGCAAATGTAGGTCCTCATATGCTTAAATCTCAACCCCCTTTCTCAAGGCATCATCAACCTTTCCCTCCAATCTTCCTTGAAGCATTTGTAGAAGTTAACGCTTCAAAGGTCTTGGCAGCTAAACATCGGTCAAAATCCTCTTGAGAATACTGCGACGTGCAGCTTGCAGTTTGCACGAATTTGTTTTTTTTTTTTTTCCCTTACTACACACACACACACACACACACACACACACACACACACACACACACACACACACACACTGGCTGGCTGTCAAGTGCAACAGACGGGGGTAGCGAGGGCTTAGATCAGCTGGATGTTGTGACCTCACCGTACAAAATATAATTGTAAGCAGACGCAGCAGCGTTTAGGCTAGCTTGTCAACTCTAAACCAAATTTGACATGCAAAAGTAAAGCTGCACACACAAACGGACGGGCTGGGATCACAGGCCTTCAGGGTGGAGAACTTTTCTTTTTTTTTGTCTTTTTTAAGCTTCTTGTAGACAAACCTGTTTACAGTTCTCCTTTCCGCTACACGAAACAATGTAATCCACGTGGGGTTATATAGTTACAGTTTAGCCCCCCCCCTCACCCACCTCTGATATCTTCACCTTAGTAGGCAACCTGCAATTAATCACTGACAGCTTCCGAATTAAGCCCTCTGTGTGGTTTGGAGCCAGGAGGTGCGCTAATAGTTGTGTAATTACCAAGTGCTAGGTAAAGTAGAGCAGACTTCCAGGTAGCTGCCGAGGCCAGCTGCTTCTGGTTAGGTGAGTCAGGTTTGGCTCGCTTTGTGACTAACTGAGGCCGGAGATGATGGCAAAGGAGCGTGGGAGGCTTCACCTGCGTCCAGCGCTGAAAAGCCAATTATGAGCGTGTTGCTTCCTGCTCAAAAGCTTCTGACTTTATCTACTTACAAATCTGGCGCTAACTGCACTTCACATTTAGAGTCTAGCAAAAGTTTGCCTACTGTTTTTTTTTTTCTTTCTTTTTTTAAAAGGCTTTTATGTGATAAATCAATGCGAAGTTGAAGAAAATCCCAATGAGCTTGTGGCTCCAACATGGCAGAATGTGGAGAAATTTAAAGTGAATAGTTTTGCAAATCTTTACAGAAACTTGTTGCAATGAGCTCAGATTTTACTTCAGTCTAAATAAAGGAGGGTAAATGTTACATTTGCCCTGATTTCAAGGCTGATTATCAGGAGAAGAATGTTGCATAAAGCACAGATGGCCTCCTTCTACTCTTGACAGCTGTGTTTATGAGGTACGGTAAAGCATGCCAGCTGACAAAAGATGGAAACAAGCATGAAGCCGGGCAGAGTGGCACACTTTTTCCTTTTTTTTTTTTTTTTTACTCAACGTTAACCTGAGGGCGGCGTGTTGAATGGAGAGCAGATTACATGATTTTATATGACGGAGGTCAGCACGGCTCTTTGCTGCAGATTTCAGCACTGCAGGCTTTGAGGACCAGGGCCAAAAACAGAGTGGAGGAGAGTCAGAACGCCCCAGCCCTAATGGGTGTCTCGTGTGTCCTTGAACATTTCCTGGCGGTGATTCGCAGTCGTCATTTTTAACTCCTTTCCTTTTTTTTTTTTTTTTCGTGTGTGTGTTTGTGTGGGGAATAAAGCAGGAAGCTCAGAGATCCTGTCTTGGCTTCTCACAAGCTTACTTCTTGGAGGTAAATGAAAATTGTGACTTAGCGACACACCCAAAACGTGGGTAAAACGTATTCATTTTTCATATTATTCCTTTTAAAGCTGTGCGTCTGCTGATCTTGACATTGCCGCATTTCAACAGTCGTCGTGACTGTACCTTTCTTTACCTTTTGACCTCGAGTGTAAAATCGCCGTTGTAGTTCTGCTGCATCCAGCAGAAAGCCGTCAGAGAACAGTGACTCATTGCAGTAAAAGATGACTTACGAACGTGCTCAAAACGCCGGGCGCAAAGTTCCAGTCGCAGGAGTCTCCTTTGTGATCGCTTAGCCAGATTGTAGCCACCAGAGAGCTGAAGCTGTAACTGGGCTACCATCACGTTGCTGGTATCTACACACATAATGTCACCTTGTGCCACACTGCATGCCAATATGGGAGTCTTACTGACCTTTTTAAACTCCTCGTTATATAGTTTCTACTCACTGCCGGTAGATTTATCTGCATCCGTTGGCTTTTTTTCCCTTTTTCTGCCTCGTAAGCCGACACTTTTGCCTTTTTGACTAAAGAGAATCACAATGGATATTTTGCAGATCTTGGGTTTGGACACACTGATCACAATTAAAATGGTGGCATTACAAGCAGCTGTAAAAATGTCTGTTGAAAACAGAAAACTTCTGTTGCGGCGCGATCCTGATCAAACGATCGTAGGTCTAGTGTGTGGCAAGTTTTCTGTGTCTTCTAACCTTCACTCACTGTTTTGACTTAAAAAAAAAAAAGAGAGAGACTGCTCGACTTGTCATGTCATCACTTGTGGTCTCTGGAGGCTGTTGTATTTGTACCACCACTTTTGAGTTTGAATTGGTTAAATCCCCATCGCTCATTCACGTGTGCACCACATTAAATCAAACTGTTAGTTCTGGGTGCTTATTGTTGCCTTGGAGAGTAGTTTCAGAACATAGCATATTATTCCTAAAACATCCAAACATTTAGGAGAAGTGAAAAAAAAATAAAAAATCACGTAGAGAAACAGCTGAGTGGAATGGGAATTTAATTGTCTAAGTTGAAACCAAGACAAGTTGGTGTTCACCCAATGTAGCACTGGCAGTAATCCTTCGAGAACCATTTATTTACAATTGATGCAAACATTTATGAGAGCTTTTCAAGTTTCGAACCAACTCGGCGGAGCAAAAACAAGCAGCTTGTCCCTCAGGCCATTGGAAGACAGCAGGGATTCAAACTGTTTCTCACAGTGGAAAAAGTGATGGAGAAAAAGCAGGATTTGCCCAGCAGCTTGCCTGCTGATGTATGCTCCCAGAGTCCCCGAGGGCGCCACCAAGAGTTTAAGCTCAAAAGAAAGTCATGCTGTCCAAACGGAGCTCCTATTGGTGTTTGGTGTCCAGTGGACCGTGAACTTGGATGTCCAGGGTGTTTGTCAATGAAAGGAACTCTGCTTGAGATCTTGTTGGCATGTTCGCCGTGCCCCTCCTCACCGCTGCTCACTGGGGGAGGGGAAAGGGGGGGGGAGAACTTGCACTTTGCCAGGCGGCTCTTCCCTCTCAAAGCTTTGCTAAATGCGACATGAAATGTGAATCTGGCTGCGGATCCGAAAGGGCAATAAACACACAGTGCAAATATTTGAACCCATGTGCACCGGCTAACATAGCGATGCACACCTGTGGGCTAAGTTGGATGCACGGATGTACATGTGTCGACCGCAGTACCACAAGAGCACGCCGCAGTTCGAGTCGCCCTTCAGTGAAGAGCAACGAGGTTTTCAAGTCATTGCGGCTTGTTAATTAAAATTTCCGAATTGGGACAGGCAGAAGGAAAGACATAGTTTGGAGGAATTTGTTCCCTCTTCTCTTAATCTGTGATTTTATAAGATGTGTTGCTCCAGTATTTATTGATGTTTTTTTTTTTTTTTTTTTTGATTCGCATGCAATCAGTTTGAAATGTGCAAAAGTTTCTTCAAAACACTCCGGTGCCGTGAACGACAACTTGGCAAATCTAAGATGCATGGAAAAGCTCGTTAAGCGTCGTCAGTGAAAATGAATTTATATTGAGCAAAGAGGGGTTTGGTCACAGCTCGGTAAGCTTTGCTTTCACAGACTCTTGTAGATGGTGTCAGCTGTTTGAGATGCAGCTCAATACTCAATGCAATGCTGGAAAATCCAACAGACAGAGAAACAGATACGCTTTCAATCAGACCTTCAAACGATTAATTTGTGTTAACGTGAAAAAAAAAAAAAAAAAAAAAAAAAACTGCACAAGAGTCATAGGAAACAGAGCTGGACACAGTGGTCGACTTCATATCACGACCTGATAAAATTATAGATAAAATCTTTTAAACCTGTGTTTGAGAATGAGGTGAACTGAAAATTTTAATCATTCAGTTTTTTTTTTTTTTTTTTTACTTTTTTGCTTTTTAGATTTCTAGTGTCTCAACCCCACTGGGTTGAAACGTTATTTTCCTGCAGCTGAGATGTAGACATTAAAACACTGTTTCAGAGCCAGTGGATATTCCACACTCAAAAATATTAATTTCTCGGCCTTTTATGTCCCTTTTCAAAAATATAAAATACAACTAATTTATGGATTTAGAGCAGATATTTATTTTCGTTGAGCATTATGGAAAACCTGCCTACACTTTGGACTGGCTTCGGCTGAGAAACAATGTGCGGTCTCTCTCTGGTGCTCAAATGTCCCGCAGGAGCGAATGCACCACCATGGAAAGGTGCATGCAGGCCTTGATTATGCTGATTAGTTTCACCTGTTGGTGTGGTGTAAAACAAGGACAGAAAATTGAGCAAATGCAGAGAGGATACACAGTTGTGAGTTTTTGCAAGAAAACAACTTGCAGCCAGGAAAAAAAAAAAGCAACTTTAAACAAAACTGGGCTGAAAACTTTTCACTGGGCCGTCTGCCCAGTAAGGGACTGGATGGAGCTGGTGGGGCCACCAGATGAGAAGCTGCTTTCGGAGGGCTTAGTAAAACGGAGGTCCAGGTGAGCAAACCGTCCCATTGTTCTCTCATGCCTGTCACTCCCAGGCATTTTCCCCACACAGAACTTAATTGTATTGTTCAAGTTTTTTGGCATTACTCTGCTTTCCACTAGTCCATGACAATGCTTCCACTGTGGAAATGAGAAAACCCTACAGATGGATGGAAAGAAAGCATTATTACTTCACACTGAAGACTGATGGGAAAAAAAGACAAACAAGGAAGGACACGAGAAAGAAGACAGGATGCAAGGAGACAAAACCATAAGAGCACATGGTAATGACTTAATTAAGGAAGGAAGGACATGGGAAAAGGAGGATTGGAAGAAAGATGAGAAGGAACAAAGATTTGAGGAAAATCTTTCCATTTTCCTCAAAATTTTAAGATTTTGGGGAAGAAGGTCAGAAAAGTGAAGATGCATTGGAAGAATGTGAAAAAGAGAAAAGGGAATGCGGAAGGGATGAAGTTCAGAAAGAAGGAAGGAAGTGTGTAAGGATGCAAAAAAGGAAGGAAAGAAGCATAGAAGGATGGACCTTTAGACACATTTATCCTCCCTTTCTTTCTCATACTTTCCTAGAGCTGTAAAAAAAAATGCAAATATATAATTGACATGTTTCTAGACTGCACAGAAACGCCGCGCTATAGGTTCCAATCAGACACAACCACTTCTAAAAATAACATCGGGTTAGACATTATACTCCTTTATGTCGACCCCCTCATTCTTTTACCAATCAACATGGCGCCCTGCGTAGCTTTGTTGGAATCCAGGTTAATGAGCCACTTCTCCCCCCCCCACACCCCCAAGTCCTGCTGCTATCTCAAGCAGCTTCCTGTCTCATGTGGTCCTGGTTCTGCAATCCAAACTCGACTCCTCAGTCGGAGTCCTGATATGCATGTTGGCTGGAACCGAAGTGCCATTTGAAACACATTCACCTCCCGCTGCTGCATATGCAGGTGAAACATGCGAAAGAGAGGGAAATACTCAGCATACATGCTATAAACGGAGCTGACGTTTTCAATGTTTCATTTAAAAACGTGCTGCCTGCTAAAGAGGGACATCTTGTGACTTGCCTAATTGGTACCATTTCTGCTCACTAATTTTAATGGCACGCCTTCAATCTTTATTGGCTTGCAAGTACACCCATGTGTTTGCAATGTTTTCTCAAACTTTTGTTTTATGACTTAAAATGCTCATTATAATTTAACGGCAGAGCAGCACAAGACGGTCGAATCAGGGATAATTAATAAACGAGCTTAAATCAAATCCCAACAGGGTTACAACTCAGCTAAGCGAAATGTGTGGTCAAGGTTACAGCAACAATATAAGCATCTTCTTTTTTTTTTTTTTTTTTTTTTTTTTTTCATTGATATTTCGGGGGTCAGGCTGACTGATTTGATGTGCTTACAATCTTTCTCGGTGCAGAAAGACTTGAGAAATTACCTTCCTCTTGCTGCCCTTCTCTACTTGGACGGACGCAGTTGAGCATTAATGGTCTGATGGCCAGTTGACAGATTAGAGAGGAGGAGGGGGACCCGGCGCTCCCGGCTGAAAGCGACGTGGCGTCCCAGTAGGTTTTGCCGTATTCGCTACCCACAGAATACGAAGGTGACCAGATGAGTTTATCCTTTCCGTCTGGCGCAAAATGCACATGTAAAATCGATTTCAAGAAACGGAGAGCGTTTTCATAAACGCTCAAATTGACTATTGTATTTCATTTTCAGCATGCGTTTGCTGTCAGCTGAAGCAGATCCCCCCCCCCCCTCCCTTCTTTTCACTTTCATGTAACATAATAAACAACGGGGAAAGTCTTGCACACGTGTGGCTTCCAAGTCAGAAACCCCGCGAGTAACACGACTAGATTATGAACTTGTAGTTCTGAAAAGCGGTTATTCGTTACGATTCATTACCGTTGGCCATCCCTCCTCAGAGCTGGTAGTTTCTTTTTTATTTTTATTTTTTAAAAGATGGAGGTCAGTTGCAGGAGCAGACAAAGTATCTGCGTTTCTGCAAATGTCATGGCCCAATAACATGAGAGTGTAAGTTTCGTCTGAGACATGGGTGGGGGGGTAGCACAACATAACGGAGCGGAATTCAGGATTTAAACCAAAGAAACATTGAGTCTCGAAGGAGTTCAGGCACGCTTGCCTGTGAATGTCATGGCCATAAATCTACTTTTTGCCAGGCCCAGATTCAGTTGCAGTTTGAGAAAACGTTGCCGAGTTGAAAGACGTTGGTCAGAGTTTAAGCTGCCCTCTGCTGATGTGTGTAATTACAATTACGCTTCAGCTGGATCTTCTTAGCTTTTTTCAGATTTTATTAGAGAGAACGTACAAAAGGATGAGCCTGAACTGATCCAAAAGCCTGGAGGTTCTGCAGTGCCTCGCAAAAGTATTCATACCCTTTGAACCTTTTCACATATTGCAACAGCAAACTTCTATTTATTTTGGGAGGATTTTGTGTAATGTGTAAAGAGAAGGGTACAAACTAGAATTTTTTGTTGTTGTTTCAAATGAAATCTCAAAGTGTTGCATGGATTTTTATGAAGTCTCTTTTTTTTCTTATACCCCCCAATAAAGTACAGTGTTTGCCTTGGGGAGGCACCTAACCAGTAGAGTCCACCTGCGTGTAATTTAATCTGACATATAAATGTCGTCATGACTAGCCTGACCAGTAGTTAGTCCGCCTGTGCATAATTTAATCTGCCCTACAAATGTTGTCATGAGTGGTCTTACCAGAAGTTGGAGTCCACCTGCGTGCAATTTAGTCTGACATATAAATGTCGTTGTCCAGTGAAAGTGTCAGAGGTTTGTTAAAGAACATTAGTGAATAAACAGCATCACGAAGACTTGGAAAACACAGACGGGTAAGTGAGAAACTTGCGGAACTGTTTCATGTGTCGTTGTGTTCCTGTTGAAGGTTTCGACTGTGTGGCATCGGCCATTTTCTACGGCGTAATATGTTGGAGCAGCAGCTGAGAGGAAGCGGTTAGATGAACTAATCAGGAAGTGTGTGTGGTAGTATGCCCCCTCGACTCGGTGTGGGTGATGGGAGACAGAGGAACTCTGGGTAAAATAACACTCTTGGAAAATGTCTTTCACCTCGTGCATCAATCTGTTGCTGAGCAGGAGAGCTTCTTGGGGGACAGACTGCTGCATCTTTGGTGCTCAAAGCAGCGTTATTGTCCTTCTTTCTTTCTTTCTTGGAGCTAAATATCGGAGAATATTGGCTGAAAACCTGAAAGATGCTGTCGAAGAATTGAAACTGAGGCAGACGTTCACCATCCTGCATCAATCAGTGTGTTGGAATGGACCAGACGCAAATCAAAATGAGGATCTGTGGCAAAGCTTGAAAATCGTCATACAGTTCAGTAGAGCTTGGGTTGTGTTGCAAAAAATGTAATTACTTAGATGTGCATCTCTGGGAGAGATGTACATAAAGACTTGCAGATGTAGTTGCAGCAAACTGCGGCTCTGTAAAGTAATGAGAATGTGGCATCGGCCATTTTCTATGGCGTAATATGTTAAACTTTTCAAAGTTTTCAGATTTAAAACTGTGAAGCATTTTTTTCCCCTTCTCTTCTCAATTATACACAACTTTGTACACAATATATTGAAGTCGGGGGATGGGACGTGACAAAATGTAAAAACGTTAAAGTGGTATGAGTACTTTTTCTATCGCACTTTCTACAGAAATGAGGTGTTGAGATTGCTACTGGCTGTGTTTATGTGAAGGTGGCTGAGCAAAACGAACCATAATGCAGGATGAAGCCTTTTAAGAGGTCCTGGCTGGGTGAATATGCATCTTTGAAGGTCAACATTTTAGTCTGCAAATTTTTTTTACTGCAGTGGGGATAATATTATGGTAGCTGGCTGTGCTGAATAAATAGGTTCTGATGAACTCTGCACAACCTGAGCCACTGGGCAAATTTTATATACAGTGAATAAAGTTCTCATTTGTGGTTGTACGCTGGCTTGTAAGAACAGCACACCGAGCGAAGTGGATGGGGTTAGAGGCTAAGATGTTTTCTGAGCTCGAGGGGGGGTAACACTGAGAGCTTGCAGGAGAGGGAAAAATGTACTCATGTCATACAGTTCTCTCAGTTTTCTGACACTCTACCCCAGGTAAACTGGTCCCCTCTGGCCGGTTCTTGGATTAGCGACCGCTAGCCAAAATCAACAAGACGGCCAGAGGCGAAACGGCTTCTCTCATTTGCACCAAAGTCGCTAATGCCTCACAAGACCCACAGAGTGGCAGCTCATTTTTGCAAATAAAAGGTATGTTCAAACAAATGTCAGTTTGAAAAATATGACCCAAGATGTATTAATTTCTTTGTGGGAGATCGACTGGCAAAAGCCCATTATGACCTTTTGGATTCGTGAAGCAAAGGGTTGCTTTAAAATAAATTATTTTCTCTCCATACTGTGAATGTTTTGTTTGTTTGTTTTTTTTTTTTTTTTATTTCCTTTTTGGTATTTTGGTACCTACAGTATATTAAATGATGTGGGTTTTTCAGGCATTCAGGCCCATTTTACAGCAAGAACAAGTAACTTTTTTACTTTCAGTTGTTATAAAACTGCGATGTGTATCAAAAACAACTTAAAAGAATTAGATTTTGCATCATTTCCAACACTTCTCCCTCATTATGCCATTTACAACCGTTCTTAGGAGCATTGGATTGAGAGGTAATTTGTAGGATAAGCTCAGCAGACTTGCAGTTTTGGTGCTAATTTCTGCTGCCACTAGTCTGGAGGAGTTGAGTGGCTCATTGTGTGAGCAGGCATTTAGACATGAATGAATGGTTGCTATGAGAGATTTGAGGATTTTTCAAATATAAATTGAAGTAAAGCTCCTTGAATGTTTTTAATGAGGGAATAACATTATAAAATAACATAAAACTAAGGTTAACTGCTGATAAGGAAGTCAAAAGCAGTCGACTGAAGGTCTGCATGTTTTATAAGTGTCCTTGCTTCACCACACCTGAGCCAGATTACTAAATTGTATCTCGGCTTGCCACAGCAGCATGACGATTATGTAGTCATTCAGATTATAACTGTTTAAGTATAGGATAAAATCTCATTTATATTTGAGGTACTACTTTTCAAGGAATATTTAGGTATCACTGGAGATGTATGTTTATATTTGAGGCTGCATGTGTAATTTTGGCCCTACATGAATTGGAAAAAAACCCATAAATTAAAACTGCCACCTGCGATGTCGCATGAAGCCTCTTTCCAATCCACAAATGTTTAATTTCCTATCCCAAAAGAATCACCCGTGAGCACCCGAACCAGCCGAGTCTGGTGTGCAGCGGTGCCACAGAACAACATAAACTTTCATGACAGTGTTTATCTAATTTATTTTCCCCTCTGTGCAACTGTCAACAATTTCAATAAACGGCTGATCTAATTAAGGAAAAGAGGAAAATTAAGGAACAGTGGCAAAACTGAGCTGTTTTTCTTTATCCTGAGTCAACCAACTGTTGACTCAAGAGCATCTTTTCTTTTATTCTCCTGTGTCTCACCAGTTTCTAATGATGGAAGCAAGCGGTTTCAAAACATTTAATTGGATTTGTGTAGAAAAACGAAAAACACAAACGGCAAGCTGGTGGACAAAATTCATGCCTCATTTTGACTCAGAGCAGTCTGTGTGTGCACTACTGATAAATTTCCCTCATGAGAAGCTTTACGTCACAAAATCCATCCTCAAACAAGCTGCAGAATAAGGGTTTACTGTTTTTAACCTCAAAGTTTGAGAGGAAATAACAGAGAACTAACGGGGCTTTTCGGCATTCTCCTTCTAAAAAAAAAAAAAAAAAAAAGAGGGCTTCTGGGTTGTTTCAAAATGATAAATTGTACAAATATCTCCAGTGGCCGCAGTAAACGGTTCATAGAAACAACGACCCCTTCGAGTGACAACTTGGCCTTCTCTATGTGGCACGCTTTCATGTTGGTAATTATTACTCTGTGACGAAATGTCGGAGGCCTCGTACTGTTTTGATTCAGATATAAACTCTCCAGTGTATATATCGGTTCACAACGGTGTCAGTGGAGACATTGGTGTTCCCACAGCTAGACGGGATTTTACTGGCTCTCAATAATTTTGTTTAAAAACCTAAAACGTGTTGCATAAGGTCAGGTTTCCCCCATTATGGATGTTTTCAAATATCTAATATGTCACTTAGGTCTTGTCCTGTTTAACTGTTTCACATGTAAGTAAATACAGGCGGGCTCATGTTAGGCAGACTTTAAGAAAGGACACCCTGTCAGACCTCCCCCCCCCCAAAAAAAAAAAAAAAAAAGTCAGACTGGAGATGAAACAGGGAGGAATGTGGACCGGTGTGTATATCTGTGTATTTGCATCTCCGGCTTTGCTGTGTGCCCCCCCCCCGTATGGGCATTTCCAACTGGCTCTGGTGTAAATAAAGTCTCCGGCCACGGCAGGTGTGGGGAGCAGGGCCAGGAGCAGGGGAGGTCTGAGTTTCCTCAGTCCCGTGGGCTGCAGTGAAACCGTCCTGGAGAAATCAATATTTACCATGTGTATCAAAGCAGGTTCTGTTTTAGTATCAAAAAGCAGGCTGCACAGGGCACAACTTGTCCACAGTCGAGCAGCGGCAGCGGCTTGACTGCTGCTGCAATGCTTCCCATTGTTAGTGAAATAAGTTAGCATTTTCTGTGGATATGAGTTTTTTTTCTCTTTGAATCGATGGGAACAAGCTTATGCAGCTCATTTCTGTTAATTATGGGTTGAAACAATATTAAAAGTAAAATTAGAACGGAGTTTGAAGTTTTATTGTATCAAAATGCAAAGCTGATTTTTATTTTATTTTTTTTAACAGGTTCGTCCTTTGTTATTAAAATATTGCACGACTCTCGAAGTGCTGACCTTTGAAGGGGAAAAAATACAAATTAGGTATTTGGACAAAAATACACTGTATGACCTGATTGCTTTCTAAACAAAGGCAAAAAACTATTCAATTAAACTTTTACAATATATGATGGATGGATGCGACATTTAGACCGCTGGACAGGGAATGAACTCTGGAAATGTGAATGTTTTCCTCCCTCTTGTTTTTCATGCTTATCCAGATCTGGAAAACACTTGGATCAAATTCCAAACTTTTCCAAACTGCTAATTAGGCCCTGAACACTTTTATTTTTCCTCCAGCACGACAACATTTTTCTTTTTACAGCTGACATGCACACACACACATACACACACACACACACACACACCCTCTATTTTAATTCCAATTTTTTTTTTTTAGATATTTATGGAGATCTTAATTCGAAAAATCTCATGAGGGACCAGACTGGGTCTTTGTCTCAGTCCGTCCCTTCCTGTCTGTCGAAAGCGTGTGGAAAAACACTTACATGTCTTCGCTTTGATTTGCAGTGTGTACAGAGGGGTTTCCGTTGGAGACTCTCATGTGGTCCTGGGTTCTCGGCTCCTGTCTGCACACTGAAACTGTCTCACCATGGGGCGTCATGACAAGACAGTGCCTTGAGTTTATCAAAGGGATTTCCCCCCACACCCCCCACCCCAAGGTTGCACACCCAAATGTTCCAGTGAGGGGAAAGTCTGTTAATGTAGTAAAAGAGGTACAAATTGACTCGTAATGCGCCTTTATCAAAGAGCCACTGTTAAGGAAGCATTACGCACCAATCGGGGAAAATACAACTGTTGGAAAGCAAAACAGCACGTAGATAAAGTAGTGTGAGTAAACAGACTCTAAAAGCTAATTATGCAATTGTGTGCAAGATTAGATGAGTCATGAGAAGTAATTTTTAGCACATGTTGGGATGGTTGTTTACCTCATTCTTACCAAGCTAATTCAGAAGTATTCGTACCCTTTAACTTTTCCACTTTTGACACGTTGCAGCCACAAACATTTAGTGTCCTTTTTAAAAGATTTTATGTGACAGACCGACACAAAGCAAAGTGGTGCAGAGCTGTGATGTGGAAGACAAGTGATTCATGTTTTTCAACCTTTTCTACAAGTAAGGAGCTCCAAAGTGTGATTTGTATTGGCCCCGTTTCTCCAACTTATTAACTCTAAAGACCACCTTTGGCTGCCATTACGGCTGCATTTACCTTGGGGGTATGCCTCCACCAGTATAGTTCAGTTGCCAGTATAGCAACTGAATTTTTTTTTTTTATTTTTTTTTTACTTTTTTGCATCCACTCACTAAGGTTCATTTTCAAGTCTCAGCACAGATCCTTTGAAAGATCTGTGCTGAGACTTTGACTGGGACATTCTAACACAAAAATACTCCAAAACATTGAGTATTTTATTGGCATACCAGGTGTGCACCAGCTGTGCCAACGTCTGTCTGTATGCAGAGTCCTTGATCAGACCCATAAAGCAGTGGCATCATCTGCAAACTTCACGAGTTCCACAGTTGAGAGAGAAGCCACCTTTGGGATGAAATGGTGCTCCTTGAAATATAGCAGAAAAACAATTTTTCCATTTTAAATAATTCTTTGCTGTATAGACTTTTTTTTTTTTTTATATATATACCTGGTGTTATAATTATGATAAAGCCACAACATATTATTGCAGTTCTGCCCAGCTCTCTATGTTTGGATGATTAATTTGTTAGAACTTAGTCATATTTTTTAAATATGTTGTTTTCCAACTTAATCGCGTTTTAAACGTCTCAACATCTTCATGACGCCGTTTTTTTTTATTATAAATCTCTGGGGCTTTCTCCGGACAGCCGGAATTATCCTTGGATGAAATTACACAAAAGTGGAGTCTGTTTGTTCATTAGGTAACTTCTGAAGACAATTAGCCGTATTAACTTTATAGGACTAAATACAAATACGCAACACACTTCAGATGCATGGTTTGACAAAGAAAAGTGGAAACTTTGCATAACTTCCCTTCCAATTAGCAATTAATCTTCATTGGTCTTTTAGGTAAACAACCAATAAAACGCATTAAAAGTCGAAAAGTAAAGTGAACGTGTTAAAACGGCATGAATATTTCTTTTGAGGAAACTGCATTTCAAACATTCTCCGGTGCGAGACGCAAATAAAACCGTGATCAGGGCTCGGTAATGGCGGGACCCAAACCAAGCAATTCTTCCGTCTCTTGAAGTTTCCTTTTTATAGCCGCTCTCCTTCCTCCCCACACTCTCGTCTTCCGAGAGGCCTCGCTGTCACGCCGGGGAGTGAGGAAGTCGGCGCGCTTCATTAAGTGAATGTGGCACACCACGCGATGCCACTGAAAATAACAGAGCCTCTGTTTAGGAGCGAAATGACACTTGGAAATAATGGTGAGTCAGAAGCGGGCCCTTTGGGCACTACTGATGGTTACAAGACCTCCTGCTGTGGTTCTTAGATTTTTCTATTTTTTTTTTTTTTTTTACAAGTGAGCTGGATGTGTTGGAATAGGTGAGAATTTTTCATTACACAAC